CTTCTTCCTTTCCCGAGGTAACCACTCTGCTAATGAATTTGTATTTATTATTCCTTTGCTTTTCTTTATAATTTTATAATATGTATCAAAAATATCTGCAACTAGCATTGCTTAGTTTCTTATGTTTTTAACCTTTTTATACATGGACTCATTCTCTACAAATATGTCATAGTTTGTCCAGTGTTCCTTCAATGGACATGTTCTTTCCAGGTTTTTTAATAATAAATACTGAATGCATTTGTACAAGCTGGAGTTTCTGTAGTATTTATATCTAAAGTAGAATTTCTGGTGCTGGAGTACATTCATATCTTCAGCTTCACTAATTATTGCCTAATTATTTTCTACAACAGTTGTACGAATGTGCAGTTTCCAGTAGTATATAATTGTTTGTTTTCTTTGCGCTATTGTGAACAGTTGGCTGTTATCTTAAATTTTTCAGTCTGGTTGTTCCGAAACAGTATCACTTTGTAGCTTACATTTTCATTCCCCTAGCTACTAATGACTGGGAGCATCTTTTCATGTGTTCATTGGCCACCTACATTTCTTCCTCTGTAGAATGTCTTTGTCTTTTGCTCAATAGCAATTAAACAACAGATGTTGGAGTCATCAGACAAGTTTGAAATACAGCAGTCACTATGCTGTAGAAAACATAGTAGAAATGTAGTAGAGAAATGGGATCTTTTGAGACTACCTTATGTGTAGTTGGAAGCCCCTCAGAAGAGGGAATGGGGAGAAAGCAGTATTTAAAGAGATACTAGCTGAGAATTTTCCCAAAGTGAAAAAGATACCAATTCATAGATTCAAAAATATCTGTGGACTCCAAATAAGATAAATGCAAAGTAAACTATACTTCACATCATAGCAAAATGGACAAAAAGCAAAGAAAAATCTTACAGGCTGTTGACGGAAGATGGGATATTATTGCCTTCAGAGAAGCAACGATAAGACAGGTGACTTCAACAAAAGTAAAGGAATGCGTGAGACAGTGAGATAACATCCCTAAACTGCCGAAAGGAATAACTGCTAACCTAAAATTCTGTATCCTGTGAACATGTTCTTCATAAATGAAAGTGACATAGACTTTTCAGACAAAAATTGGGAGAATTTGTTATGGGTAACCTGAAGTAAAGGAAATACTTAGTGGGTTTCTTCTGGCAGAAGGAAAATGATCCCCAAGGAAAGCTGTGATAAGCAGGAGAATAAAGAGCAATGCAAACTAAATAACCATGCTGAGTGTAAGTGGAGAGTGGTCATAGAGAAACAATATTTGATGAATTTAAAATATACATAGAATTAAAATGTATGACAAAAAATAGTATAAAATATGAAGAGATAAGTAGAGTTAAATGTTTAAAATATGTTGCGTTATCTGAAATTGTAAAATTTATATTAGGTTACTTAAATGAGGGATGCGTGTTATTTCTAAAAGAAGAGTAAAAATGGGTAGATAACAAAATGGGGGATTTTGATTGACAAAATATGATTGACATGAAATAAGAGAAGACACAGACGCAAAAGAGTATTTTCATAGAACACTGTCTTCAAATACTGAAACTTTCCCCCCCAAATCAACATTGTATCATAGATGTTCTATCCAGTTGTAATAGGACAAGAAAAAGAAATAAAGATTATAATTATATCGATGGGAAAGGAAAAAGTAAAACTTTCATTATTGCAGATAACACTGATATACTTAGGTAGCCAAAAGTTACCCACAGACCCTCTTAGAAATAGGTGAGTTTAGCAGGTTTGCTAGAAACAAAGTAAATGTGTAAAAATCAGTTATCTCTCCTGTAGATAATTAGGAAACGAAAATTAAAAACACTGCTGTTTGCAAGAGCATCTAAAATCCAGTGTCAAGGAGTACAAAAAAAGATGTTAGTGTTTAACATGCAGAGAACTATGAAGTATGATCAAATAAAAATAAAGACAACCTGAATGTGTTCATTGATTAAAGAACTAATATTGTAACTACATTGGTTTGGGGCAAGTTATCTGTATAACCATAATCAAATGAGTCTTTTCCCCTGGAAATTGAAATTTATATGGAAATGAAGAGCCAAGAATAGCTAGAGTAATTTTAAAGAACAGCCAAAAGGTAAAAGACTTGTATTATCAGACTTATTATCAAGACTTACAGTTCTTACTGTAATTATAAGAATTACAGTAATTAAGACAATGTAGTGTTAATGCAAGGACAGAGAAGGATGTTTTAGAGCATCCAGGAGCTAATCCATACATAAATGAACAGAGGTGATACTGCCAAGCAGTGGGGGGGGGGGAGTGGTGTTTTTCAATCATTGTTGGTCTGTTGGCACTCTCTATGTAAGGAAAATGAATCTTGATCTCCTACCATACATAAAACCAGTTGCATAATAAGCACTGATCGAAATGAAACTTTAAGAGGATTATGAAAGAATATCTTCAAGACTGCAACAGGTAAAAAAATTTTCATAAGATATAAAGAACTCTTAAGAAAAAGGAACAGAAAAATTTGGACTAATATTAAAATGAAGGGCTTCTGTTCATCAAAAACACCATTAAAGGAGTGAAAAGGTAACAAAGTCTACAAAGCAGTATTTGCAATTTATGAGAACTTACCCATTATACACGTATATAAATATCAGTAAGAAAAGATGGACAACCGAGTAGGTTTTAAAAGGTGCCAAAAGTTTGAATAAGAACTTTATAAATGAAGATATCCAAATGTCATTAAAATATTTACATGTGTTCAACCTGATTAGTCTTAGAAATAGGCAAAATAAAATCACAATGAGATACCACCACATAACCTGTCAGAATGATTAAAGTGAAAAAAACGATATTACCAAGAATTGACGAGAACATGGAACACTGGGAGTTACAGAAGTGTAAATTCATACGTACATGGCTGACAGTACAGATTGAGGATCCCTAATCCAAACACCTGAAGACTGAACTCCAAAATTCATAACTTTTCTAGAACTGACATGACACTGCAAATGGAAAATTCCACACTTGACTTCATGTGACAAGTAGTTCACAAAATTATTTAAAGTATTGTGTAGGGCTGGGCACAGTGGCTCACCTGTAATCCTGGCACCTAGGCGGCCAAGGAGGGTAGATTGTGTGAGCTCATGCTTTCAAGACCAGCAAGAGCAAGAACCCCCATCTCTACTAAAAATAGAAAAAAATAGCTAGGCATGGCAGGTGCCCGTAGTCCTAGCTACTCAGGAGGCTGAGGCAAGGGGATCACTTAAGCCCAAGAGTTTGAGGTTGCTGTGAGCTATGACGACACGGCACTCTACCCAGGACAACAAAGTGAAACTCTGTCTTCAACAATCAATTAATAATGAACAGAATATTGTATAAAATTACCTTTAGGGTATGTATGTATGTGTGAAACAAATGAATTTTGTGTTAAGAGTTGAGTCTAAGATGTCTCATTATGTATTTGCAAATATTCTAAAATACGAAAAAATCTAAAATTTAAAGTACTTTTAGTCCTTAGCATTTCAGAGAAGGAATACTCAAATGTATATTTACTAATGCTAAAATTGTTATGTCCTCTGACCCAGCAATTTGTAGCCTATGTATATAGCCAGTAGAAAGGCACACAAATGTGTTACAAAAGACATGGGTGATGTCTTCACATCAGCATTATTTACTCTACCTAATACAAAAGTGGAAACTGCCCAAAGGTCCTTCAGCAGGAGATTGAATATATTATTCAATATATTTATTCAGTGGAACACTATATAATAATGTGAACGATTAGCTATACTGAACAATATGAATGAATCTGGAAAACAGAATTAGTGAAAGAACCCTGACACAAATATATACTGCACAATTCTATATACAGCTCAACTCAAAGCAGTCAGAACTTACTTGTAATATTAAAATTAAGGCAGTAGTTATCTGTGGGAAAGGTGAGTTGGTGGTGACTGGGAAGAGATAAAGAGGGACTTGGGGGGTTCTGGCAGTCTTTATGTCTTGATCTGCATGTTCAGTAAGTAGTTCACTTTGTGAAAATATATCAAATGTGCCTTGTGATTTATTAGTTTTCTGCTTGTTATAATCAATAAGTTTCTTTAAAACAAATATTACGTGCATGTGTTGACCCAGCTCTCCCACTCTGAGGTTCAGTGCTAAAGAAAGAAAAGCACTTAAGGACTTGTGAGCCACTGTGTGTTAGGTGACAGGGTGTTTCCTCACAGCACTGTTGGGAGTAGGAAAGCATCTGTTATTGGGGAATGGTTAATGCATGGAATGTGCATGCTGTGGGATGTTACACATTAATTTAACAAGATTTTATCTATTGACCTGGAGGAATTGTTACCTTTTTTTGATGCAAAATAAGGCGTTTGATTCTATTTTTGTTTTAAATAAAGGTATGTGCATAAGTTTTAGCATGAGCCTAGAGGAAAGATTGGAAAGTCATAGTAACTAAATTGGGGGTAGAATTAGTGATCATTATAGGGACAGTTACTGAATTTTTCTATGTACATCTTTGTATAATTAACCATTTCTTAGATGTTGCTTTTACCATTGGTCCTTGTGGCAACTGTTTGTGTTGACAGCAGCCTCTTGCCCTCAGTTTCTGTTATGCTGTGATATTCTGCTAGTATCAATCACCAATTGATGAATATGACTTATTGCAAAAAGAGCAGTCATACAGTTTTTAGAGAAAACCTACATTTCTAGACAATATGTGACTCATAGAATTGGCAGTGCATAGCAGCTGGGTGTGGTGATGTACACCCATGTCCCAGCTTCACAGAAGGATTGCTTGAGGCCAGGAATTCAGGGCTGTAGTGTGCGATGATTGCAACTGTGACTAGCTGTTACACTCCTGCCTGGGCAACATATCAAGACTTCATATCTCGAAAAAAAAAAGAATTGGCAGTGCATGACTATGTTATGAGTATTGTCAAATAGGATTATAATCAAAGCCAAAGTCTTGAAATATATTTATTCATAATATTAGGGATCTGGCTTATGTCTTTGTTTCTTTTAAGAGGGAGCAAGAAAGTCAAATGGCTCGTCTGAAAAAACAGCAAGAGGAGTTGGAACAGATGAGACTGCGTTACCTGGCTGCTGAGGAAAAAGATGCAGTAAAAACTGAACGACAAGAATTATTGGATATAAGAAATGAATTGAACAGGTATAATAACTACAAGTATTTCTTGTTTCTTACAAAAACGAAAGTTCTAATAGGACGGCTATTTAGTTAGTCATTGGTCCAGGGAAGGTACAATTTCAGATTTCTTAGGGATAAAGTAGATAAGATAGAAAATGAAAGGCAGCACCTACGGCTCAGTGAGTAGGGTGCCGGCCCCATATACCGAGGGTGGTGGGTTCAAGCCCCCCTGGCCAAACTGCAACAAAAATATAGCTGGATTTTGTGTCAGGCGCCTACAGTCCCAGCTACTTGGGAGACTGAGGCAGGAGAAGCAATCACCTAAACCCAAGAGCTGGAGGTTGCTGTGAGCTGTGATGCCACAGTAACACCAATGGCATCAAAGTGAGACTCTGTCTCTAAAAAACAAACAAACAAACAAAAAAAAGATAGAAAATGTAGCAGTCTTCTATAATAGAAAATCTATGTCAAAGACCCATTATACCAGTTTGTTTTGTTGTTGTTAACTCTTGTGTTTCTATTTATAGTATAGCATGGTACTTTAAAGTTCCTTTTTGTTTAACTGTTTTCAGGATTATTGCTAATATTAAGCTAACTTTGAATCATAAAATAAGAAATTTTAAATGTAGTTATATTAAAGTAGCCCTTATTTATTGAATCCTGACTGTGTGTCAGGGACTATTTAAATGGCCTTATATGCCTGTCTCATTTTTTTTTTTAAATCTTCAAAGCAACTCAATGAAGATGATATTTATCCCCATTTTACAGATGAGGAAATGGAAGATTAAGCAGAGGCTTAATTATGTTAGTAGGGTCACAAAGCTAGTAAACCATGAAGCCAGAGTTCAAATCTGATTCCAGAGATTGTATTTTTAACTGCGGGGCTACACTGGGCTTCTCTGTAGTGTCATGTTCCTCTTAATCACACCTTCAGCAGTGTTTCATGTTAGAGAAGCAGTCTTTCGGAAGCAGCATGAAAAGAAATAGAATCTTTCTGGAGGGTGGTTTTTTGAGGGAGAAGTTTTCAGCTAAATTTATCCACGAGACTCATACATTTCTATTTCAGCAAAGCACTATCTTAGTTAACTTGGACTGCCATAACAAAATACGAATGACTGGGTAGCTTAAACAGAAATCTCTTTCCTCGTGGTTCTAGAGGCTAGAAGTTCAAGATCAGGAGCTAGCATGGTTGGTTTTAGAGGGCCAGCTTCTTGCTGTGTCCTCACCTGGTGGGAAGAAGGAGTAAGCAAGTTGTCTGGTGTCTCTTCTTATGAAGGCTCTGATCTCATTATGAGGGTTCTACCTTCATAGTGTTATATAAATATAATTAGCTCTCAAGGCCCTTCTCCAAATACCATCATATCCAAGGATAGGGCACTGACATACCAGTTGGGGATGGTTGGAGGCAAATAATGTTCATTGCTACACATATACATTTGACAAGGCATCTCATTGTATCTCCATATATAGTTCAGTCACTGTCTTAGAAGGGTTCCTAGCTGAAATAAATAACTATTTGGAAGATAAATGAATAACCTTCAGTTATAAAAGCTCAACTCTAAGAGCTTTGCTTAACAGTGTTCAAACTACACTACTGTTTTTCTCATTTATTCAACACATGCTTATTTAGTGTCTACAGTGTTGTAAACTCAGAAAATGTTACAAATTAATGCATTATAACATGACCTTTGCCTTCCAAACTTTTGTTGTCATATAGTATACATAGCAAATATATATTAGGTCCCTGTTGTTGGCTGAGTGTGGTTTTGGTGGCTTAAGTGAAGGTAACCATTTTGCCTGTCAAATTCGTAGATCATACCAAGTTGAATCTTATTAATGTCTTTATAAATTTGGATTCAGAGAGAACTAAAACCAACAAGATTAAATATATTAGAGACAAAAAGAGACTACTGTATAAGTTACAAGAAAAATCACTTAAATGGTAGATAATACATAGTAAAAGAGTTCATGTGAGGAAGCCCAGGAGGATTTAAGGGGCCACTAATAATAATGTGATTTGGCTGCTAAAGAGTCAGTGCCTTTAGGGACATTCAGAGAAGTACTATTCAGTCCTGGTTAAATAATAATAATAATAATCACCTCTGGAGTGTTCTTACCAGTGTGCAGCAGGAAAAATCACTGCAGGAAAATGAGGTGTCTAGATGGAGCTTCTCATGGAATGTGACCAGGACAGCAGGGGCAATAAGCATTGAAGAAATGGCTGGGAGAGAATTGGAGAGCTCTTGGGTACAGTGATAGATAACTGCCTTCAGAGATCTGGTGGGCTATCATGTTAAAAAGAAGTAAACACGCTTCTCCCCAGCAGAATCCTGGCCAGTCACTGAGACACGTAAAGAGGCACGCCGAGTTCAGTGTGAGAAGGGGCTTTCAGACAGAGCACTTCTGCAAGGTAGTAGCTTCCAGTGGCAGCAAATGTGCGACTAGAGCCTAGACAGGGTTTCTCAGGACTGTTACCAGCGTTTCCTTTAATATTTTATGGGCTTATTCAGCTACCAGGTTTTAAAATTCTGTTGTGATCATGACTGATAATTTTCATTTGAGTAAAAGTAAATTACATTTGTCTTTCATGCGTAATTAGGTAATGCACAAAAGAGAAATAAATATTGAAACCATTTGGTACATAAGTTGTCATTGTGTGTCGTTAATTTAACGACCCTTCCCCGAAGGTAGCTATAGGAATTAGGGTAGGGAAACACTCTTCAGGGAATCTGCCCTTACTCATCTACAGGAACTGCTCAAACTCAGTGGAAAGACGTGGTACCAGTATCCCACCTGGGTCCCGGAGCACAGTACCTATCACTGTTTAGGCTTTTCTTTCTCAGAATAGAAGAAGGTATCTGGTATATTTCTTGACTGTATACGTCAGGGTTTTTTTTCTCTTTTGTGAGAAATTGTAGGAGTTTCATGTTTTAAAGTGTCATCCAAATTTAAACGAAGCTTTCCTGCCAACCGGTGTGCATCCCCTGGGGCCTGGTCCTCCTGGGTGTCGGAGCAGGGCCTGTCCTCTCTGCTTCTTCCTGCCTCTCCCCACCCCATGTGCACATTTGGAAGTCTGAAGACTATCAGGAAGGAGGGGCTTACACTCAAAATTGGTTTACCTTATCAGGACGAAATTTAGGAATAGCTGCAGATTGAAACGTCTGTCACCAGTTATATAGAGGAATATAAAGCTACATCTTAATTGTACATTCTGAGTTAAATTTCCTATCCAAACTTAGTGTGACTGTCACTGAGTTCACTAAGTTTTATTACCATTCTATTTTCAAAACTGTGATCAACAATGCCCAGGTTCTGTTGGACATACCCAAATCCCAGGCCTTCATCTCCCTTTTTCTCTCCTTTCTTCATCCCCAAGTGAGATTATCACAAACGTGACTTGGAGATATGCATACAGCCTTGTCACGTGCATGCCCTTGGAATCACAAATTCACGTTTATAGAATGTCTGCAAATCCTGAGACAGCTCCATAGTAAAAGGGGCTTTTCTTCTTGGTTCACTGCAGTGTCCCCAAAACTTATTTGGCACAAATAAACATTTGTTGACTGAATTTAGAAAAAGAAATTATGTTCAAAACAGTAACAAAGGTTTGGGGATAAACTCAAGATTGCAATGAAGGATTAAATGAAGGTATATCCAAAGGGGAGGGGGGACGCATTTTAGAGGAACATTTAATGAAGTAGGAAGGGCATTTTGACTGTATGAATATGTGAAGAAAGCATTGCATAATGGAGTATCATTAATTTTTGAGAAAATATGTATTTTAAAGTACATATATATATTTTTAATTTTCTTTACACAGCTCTAAAACTACAGTTTTCATGTATTTTATAATTAGAAAGCAAGTGTTGCTTTTAAAACTTCCTTTTGTAAGCATGTTGATTCTGACTAGCTAAGTGGAACATTGGTTTTTGTTTTCTTCTTGAAAATATTAACTAAAAACTTATTTTTGCCATTGTATCATTTTGCTTTTAAATAGTGCTTTTAAGAAAAATGAAACAGTTGCCAGAGTCACATTTGTTCTTGGCTTTTCAGGTTAAGGCAGCAAGAACAAAAACAGGGCCAGGATGCCAGAGAGATAGCAAGTGGGAAAATGGACAGCCCCCACAGTAACGCACTGGAAGAAGGGCTGGATGATTATTTGACTCGCCTCATAGAAGAGAGGGACACGTTGATGAGAACGGGTGTGTACAATCACGAGGATCGGATAATAAGCGAACTTGACCGACAGATAAGAGAGATTTTGGCAAAAAATAATGCCAGTAATTAATAACATTTGGAACATCTTTACAGAGACACCAGGTCTGAATTTTAGTTTCCTTGTAAAACCCTTACAAGTGAAGAAAATTGATGTTTTAAAATGCTATTTTCAGGTTTTTTAAACAAAATTTTATATATTATTGTATAGTATTTATTTGATTGTATTTACTTTGTGCTACCTCTCATGCTGGTTTTATTTGTCCTACGCATTTTCTACTCATTTTACACGGCTTGTCAGTGCTTCTTGTAGTTTATAATCTGAGGGCTAACTTTCAAAACAGCTTTTCACCAGTTTGTTATAGGAGAAATGACTGCAGGATTGTTCAGTTATTTAATTTTTCATGTTGAGCCAAAAGAGTATATGTTGCACTTTAAAAAATGCTGTGTCCTAATTCCATTTGAATGTAAATATCTTAAAAGTTGATGCCAATTTTAAATGTAACCAGTTTAACTCATTTCAGACAACCTATCTTTTTTCCTTAACTTGTAATGTTTGCAAATGACAACCTTGAAAATAAAGCAGGATCAATGCAGAGAAGCCATATGACATATTGAGTGGCAGATTCGTCATTTATTTAAATAAAGTTAATACAGACAAAACTTGTTTCAAGAGCTAGTGAATTTTCAGACTTTCAGTGTACTGGTAACTTGAACTTTTAATATGGTCTTCTCTGTCAGCTTCCTGCTGGGATTGGCGTTGTTTTCTTTCACTAACGTCAGAGATTTCCTTTTATTTCCAGTGATAATAGTACTAGTTGTTAACTCAGACCCTCTCTAATAGAACACGGAAACACACACACAAAGAAAAGAGAGTAAAAATCAACTATTTTTACTCCCCCTAATTTTAATCGGTCTTTTTCAAAACTGTATGAGATGAAGTCAATGGATTTATGTAGCATCAGGTCGGTATGAAGAGTTCCCTTACTTCGTATTCTTCAGAGCCAACATTTGTCGGTAAAGCAATACTTTCCACCTCTTTTTATAGAGTACTGAAAAGTTTTTAACAAATTCGCAAATTAGGTTGAGTCTGAACATAGATGTAGTTTAAAAATTATGATTTCCAAATGTAATAAATTTAAGTATATGCTTTAGGAAGTTACCAATAACTTCCATAAAAGCAGAATAAAGATATTTACTTTTTTGTCGTTTTCAACAAGATATATTTCATATTAAGGAAATTAAAGTCCTTTTACTCACCATGTTTTTTCCTTATTAACAAACTATTGATCTTCTAAAAATAACCCAGCAGTAAATAAGAAATTACTGAATGAGAGGATAATGAATCGTTGACTCATAGAAGGAATTTACAATATTAATTATGGTTAGATATATTCTCTCAGTGATTTTTGTGCCACATGAATGGAACAGAAGTATTCTTTTTGTTTTGGGAAGTCTCAAGTAAATTTCTGTGACTGTTAATACCCTCAGTTGCCTTATGTGCTGCCTGGGACTGTTTCCAAACACTAGAGGGGGCCCTAGATTTAAAGAAACAAAAAGGACTTTTCTAAAATGGATGTGTGGTTTATTTTGCCTTCTGTAAAGCTTTTTCGGCTATTGTAATTTAACAAATAAAATCATAATTGTATGCCTCTTTGAGTTTTGAGCATCTTATTACTTATGTTTCTACACAGAGGAGGCAAAGTCTTCAGCGCTTCCTGGTTCCAGTCACTAGATTCTTGCTTTTCTCTCAAGTGTTTACATTTCAGATACTTTTTAATGTCTGCACATCAGGGGAGTCTGAAATGTTAATTCTTCTGCAGTCCTTCAGCAGCATCCATTCCATTTGTAAGTGGCATGTGACAAATTGACAGATCGCTTTCCTAAGTTGCCTGAGAGTTAAGAAGTGTGACCATAGTGAGTATGAGTGAGTGGGTGTGTGCATGGGCAGGCCACTAGGTCTCCTAATTACTACCTTTATAACAGGAGACCTTTCGCCAGATATTTTAAGGTGAAATAAAATTTACCTTTAAAATTTCTATGACTTTTTATGGAGAAATTCTAGTCTCTACATGTAAGGCAAGCATCTGCAGCATAGGAGGGTATATCATGTCTCCCGGGTGTCTGTATAGACTTTAAAGAGTTCTTTTACAAGGATATTCTAGTAGTTTCTATCTGGACCTGAGTGCCTGTTGCTTTGAGCAGATGTGGGAGCTTGAGTATGATTTAAAGATGTTTCAGGGACTCTGAGGGAGAGAGAATCTAGTCTGACCAGACGATCTTCTCCTCTACTTCTTGTTCTGTCTAGACGCTGGCCAGCCTCACTCTGAGTTCACAGATCACCCCAGCACATACTGCTTATCTGCAGCCACCTCAAAATGGACTGACCTGTTTCTTACCGTCTGCGGGAAGGGCCCTTGGGTTACCTTATATGGACTTAGAAAGTATGAGCTCACTACCACTGTGTCTAACTTGACTGAGTACCTAAATTTATTTTTTTTTAACTGGTACAATTCACATACCATAAAAATTACCATGTTAAAGTGTATAATTCAGTGGGGGTTTTTTGCATATTCACAGCTTGAGCTATCACTACAACCTAAAACATCATCATCATCCCCCAAAGAAACCTGATCTCCACTAATAGTCACTTCCCATGATCCAGGACTGCAGCCCCTGGGCAAATCTTGTCTACTTTGTGTCTTGATGGTTCTGCCTATTCTGGACATTTTATATAAATAGAATCCCACATTTGTTATTTAAAATAGAAGATATGAGAAAGTCTAAATGTAATTTTTCTGTGACTAGTTTCTACAGCATGTAACATTCTGTCAGATGTGGAATTAAATGATACGAAGATCCAGAAGGCCGCTGGTGTGATTCCGTCCTGCGAGTCTGTTCCTTGGTCATTTATCTCCATCTGCCTTCTCGCCCACCTAAGTGCGTGCCATCACCTCATGGAAGATTCAATGGACATGAGCCCCTTGAGGCCTCAGAACTATCTTTTTGGTTGTGAACTAAAGCCAACAAAGATTATGACTTTAAGGTGGATAATGATGAAAATGAGCACCAGTTATCTTTAAGAACTGTCAGTTTAGGGGCTGGTGCAAAGGACGAGTTGCACATTATTGAAGCAGAGGCAATGAGTTATGAAGGGAGTCCAGTTATAGTAACACTGGCAACTTTGAAAATGTCTGTACAGCCAACGGTTTCTCTTGGGGGCTTTGAAATAACACCACGTGTGGTCTTACGGTTGAAGTGCGGTTCAGGGCCTGTGCATATCAGTGGGCAGCACTTAGTGGCTGTGGAAGAAGATGCAGAATCAGAAGATGAAGAGGAGGAGGATGTGAAACTGGAGAGCGATCTGCCCCTGGAAGTGGTAGCAAAGTTCCATGGAAAAAAGTACAACTTGCTGCTGATGAAGATGATGAAGAAGATGATTTTGATGATGAGGAAACTGAAGAAAAAGCTCCAGTGAAGAAATCTGTGTGAGACACTCCAGCCAAAAATGCACAAAAGTCAAACCAGAATGGAAAGGATTCAAAACCATCAACGCTGAGATCAAAAGGTCAAGAATCCTTCAAAAAACAGAAAAAAACTCCTAAAACACCAAAGGACCTAGTTCTGCAGAAGACATTAAGGCAAAAATGCAAGCAAGTATAGAAAAAGGTGGGTCTCTTCCCAAAGTGGAAGCCAAGTTCATCAATTATGTGAAGGATTGCTTCCAGATGACTGACCAGGAGTCTATTAAAAATCTCTGGCAGTGGAGGAAGTCTCTTTAAGAAAACAGTTTCAACAGTTTGTTAAAATTTTCC